GAGATCGATTGGACCGGTCTGGATAATAAGAGGAAAAAAAGCCTGATCACGATCATGAAGAGAGCGATGATTCCGATCGAACTGACCAGCGCGTACGTGTTCACGATGAATTTGAACACATTCGTGAGCGTTAGTCGAACATTGCGATGATTTCTCGATTAAAGGATAAATCGTTCGTGTGTCGTATCGAAGCATTATTCGTTTCAGATCCTGAAGATGTCTTACTCGATGTACAACCTGCTTCAAAGAAGAAAAGAATCGTAGCGGCAGGAAACTAGATACTTGGATCCTGGACAGTTGGAGTTTCTTAGATTCGTAGTATGTAAGTTTCACTGAAAATTCTCGATCGACTGGTTGCGACGAGCGACACGCTTCGATCGAGCAAAATTACACTTACGGTATAAAAGTTGTGTACGATCGTGAAGTTTCAGGAACTGTACGAATAAATAAACGTTGCGAATAAATAGACTACAGGTGAAAATTGTGTACGAAAACTGGCTGTAAACCGTGCACGCGCAGTTCTTCCTTCCGTAGTTGATTAAATGTCGAGAATATCTAGCTGTTCGGTTCGTGTATATATCCCAACGAAATTGTCCAGTGGTTCGATCCCTCGCGGTGTTCGTAAGAAAAATACTGCCAGTCGACCGGCAAAAGATACGACGAAACACCGAGAGATTATTAATGATAAATATGGAATTACTGGAAGCGGCTAGTTGGAACGCGTCCCGGAAATTACTGTAATTGTATAGCCCGTGCACGAGAAGGGGATGTTCCGCGGACGTAGCAATCTTTAGAGGACGGATGTCCGTTGTTTCGCCAGCTTACGGGAAGAATATCGGGACTCTATAGTCGCGCGTTGCATACCGTGGAACACCTTTTGCGATTTTGTAGAGCATAATATTGTAAAGCATAAAGATCGTCATCTTCCGTGGAAGGTAGAGATGATAAAATGTGAGTAAAACTCGAATGTTCTCGCGTTCGATCGAACGTGTCGTGAAAATAAGCATTGCAGAATGGAGAAGTTTGCCCGTAACTAACGTATCGTAGAAACTATAAAGCTGTGCCAGAATCTTACAATTGAACAAAAGGATCGTGTGCCGGTGATATCTAGAAAGAAAAATGCGGATCTTGAGAATGGTCTTTTCAACTCTGATCATGTGCGGTTGTTGGCAGCCCGATTCTTGGACGTCGCCGATGAAACTGTTCCTGTATCACGCGTACACGACGATCGTGTTCTCGCTGGTTTATTCGGTGACGTTCTATCAGTTCATGGAGATACTGCTCAACGTGAAATCGTTGGACGAGCTCGCGGACAATCTGTACATGTTCATAGAGATGGCTTTCTCGTGCCAGAAGATGCTGAACTTGCTGAGGAGTCGAGAAAATATCGCTGGACTGATGAGCATCTTCGAGGAGGAACCGTTCGTGCCGCGGAACACCGAGGAGCTCGAGATTCGATCGAGATTCGATAAGAAAACGCAGTGAGTGGTGAACTTGGTAAATCTTTCCCGAAATCTAGCATTCGGCTTTCGAACATCGCAGACTGTTCCTTCCGATTTTGCTGGCCGTACGAAATCATTTCGAAAAATATCATTCTACAGGTCGAACACGATCCTGTACCTCTCTTTGCTGATGGGAACATGCTTCAGCTTAACTTTCTCGGTATTTTTGAAACCTGAGAAATGGCCACTGATATTTAACATATGGCTGCCTTACAATTACTCGTCGATCAGCTTGTACAGTTCGACTCTCGCACAGCAGAGTTTAGCGTTGCACTATGGCGCGCTGGCGCACGCCGCTTGCGACAGTTTGATCTGTGGCCTGCTGATCCATACCAGCAGCCAATTGGAAATCCTGCGAAGTCGTCTGCGAGCGATCAAAAGGGGTGAGAACAGACCGATGAAATTGTGCGTGCGTTTCCACGATAGAGTCTATAGGTTGGTTTTACAAAGTAACAAGCACGACGCCTACAACAATATCTAATCGTTTAACTTGCGTGCCTGCGCGTGTCTGCGTGTGTGTCTGCGTGTGTGTGTGTGTGTGTGTGTGTTACACGCGACCATTGCTACGTTACAGTATCCGAGCCAGCTTAGTTATCGGTTACCTTGGACAGATTGCGATGACCAACGAATAGAGGATGAGAAACCGATTCCTCCTTTGTCCTTAATCGAATCGAAAAATGTGAAATGTTCGAAGCGTCGGATACGTTTGGAGAAGCTGTTCCAACCAACAAATAAGAGTGTCGTTTTTTGAAAAAATGTTTGCAGATTCGCTCAAGCGTTGAACAACGAGTTCAAAATGATCATATTCGTCCAATTCATGGTGAGCGTCTCGGTCGTGTGCTTCAATCTGTACAGGCTGTCGAAAAGTGGCGACCAGGGCTCGAAACTATTGGAAGTAATACCGTTCAGCTCTTGCATATTGTCGCAGATATTCTTGTACTGTTGGTACGGAAACGAAGTCAAGCTGAAGGTTCGTGGTTAATTGAAACGCACGCGATCATTGTTGCAAACGTTCCGCTTCGATTTCGTTCGAATCTCACTGTTGAATGAATTGTTATTACAACACGTACGCGCTACATTAGTAATCAATGGAATTTCAATCACGCGCCGTCTCTCGATCGAAATCACTGGAATATTCGGCACTCGCGCTATCTTAGATTCGAAAGACGAAAAGATCGGATAAAGAAGTATTCCGCGTTGCCGGGAAAACGGAAGAACGGCAACAATTCTGTAACTCGACTAGCCGACCTAATGTATTCTTCGATTTATCAGAGCCTCGAAATTTCTGACACAGTGCTCGACATGAACTGGACGATACTCGACGACAGCCAAAAGAAGATGCTCATGATGATTATGAGACGCGCCTTAGTGCCCGTCGAATTTACAAGTATCCACGTCGCCTCCTTGAACCTGGCATCATTCATGGGCGTCAGTATACGTGGAACGCTAATCAAATCACAGGAATAGTTTTCAGGCATTATCATCGTTAACGATTCTCGCATTTGCAGATACTAAAAGCTTCTTATTCGGTGTTCAACGTGCTCCAGCAAGGCTAGTATTAATAGAGCTCGTACAAATGTTCATTGTAGAAAGGAGAAAGGTTGTTTAAACGATCGCTGTGTATCGGAACCCCAAAGGCACAAAGTCGCGATAGAAGCAAGATGAACGCGTCGAAAGATTCGATTCGCGTCAGGTGTATAGCGATCAACCGTCCAGGAAGAGAGATTCGTTGGATCGACGATTAAAAGAGGGAAGAAAAACGAGAAACTTATCTGTTTGACGATCTCCGGATTGCTCTCTCGAGTCGTCGAGCATGCTAGAAGAAGGACAATCGTGTTGTAGATGACGTTGCGATGTTTCCAAATAAATATACAAGCTAGTGATCCAGAATTCTTCTTCTTCTTCTTCTTCTTCTTCTTCTTCTTCTTCTTCTTCTTCTTCTTCCGACAATCTCGCGCCGACTACGCGGAAAACCGACGGCGTTCTCTGAAATATTTATCCTCCGTATTCGTGCTTCCCGTGGTCAGGGTGCGACGGAAGGGCAGTGCAGGGCGGAGAAAAACGAAATTACGTGGGGGAACATTGTTGCGCACGTCGCTTACGTCGCTTACGTCGCTTACGTCGCTTACGTCGCTTACGTCGCTTACGTTGCGTTCCTGGGTAATTACCGTAATGGCATAGCTCGGCGGAGGAGAAAACCTTCCGGAAGAAAAAAATATCGATATTCTATGGTCGGCAACGGCGCTTCGAACTTTGAGCACATCTCTCACCTCGATTCTCAGCGGATTCTCAAAGCGGATAGTTTCCCTCGCGATATCCTGCCGTGGTGTCGTTGTTACCGTTCCAGGGACGAGAGAATGAAGCGATACTTGGCGAAAAAATCCCGTTAGAAGCGGAAGATTCGATTAGCGTCGAACCGGAGAAGCTGATTTCTCGAATGGACTGAAGATAGATAGAAAATAAAAGTTCGAATGGATAGATTGCGATCCGTTTGCACCCTTCTCGCTATCTGCGGCTGCTGGAGACCAGCCTCTTGGGATTCCCCGCCGAAAGAGATTCTATATCGTGGCTACACGGTCGCGGTGTGGCTGTCTATACATCTTCTGTCGGTCTCTCAGATTCTCGACTTGGCCATCAACGTGAAGACGCAAGACGATTTCAGCGACAACTTTTACGTGACACTCGCGGTGCTCTGTATATGTGTGAAAATGTGCACCGTGCTGGCGAGCCGCGCGAAAATCGGGAATTTGATCGACTTACTGAGAAAGAAACCGTTCTCTTCCTTGAACACCGAGGAGGACGAGATTCGGGCGAGATACGACAAAGTAGCTGAGTAAGTTTCATACTATTTTCATACTATTTTCTATTACTCGAGAAAATGAAAAGTCCCCAATGAAAAGTCCGAAAGTCTTGACAGACAGTGTTTATCTGTGATCAATAGAATTCGGTGGAATGGTTAATGATTGGATTTCCAGAAGGAACACGATCGCGTACACGATTATAATAAAGATTTACGTACTGTCGATGTGCATCACGTCGATTTTCACCGGCTACAGGCACAACAAGTTATTGTACCGGGCCTGGTTACCGTACGACTGCTCCACTTCCATTCGGTTCACTGCCACGTACATTCATCAGATCGTAGCTGTGACCTACTGCTCGTTCATCACCGTCGCCTGCGATTCTCTTTTCAGCGGCTTCCTGATCCACACGTACTGTCACTTCGAGATACTCGGGCATCGACTGAAATCCTTCGACGGAAATAAGAGCGAGGCGGTGAAAGATTGCGCGTACCTTCACGACCGCATATACAAGTTGGTTTAACCGTTCTTTATCATCTGGCACGTTTCATATTTCATAGCAGTGCGTCGTCTACTTTTCCCACTTTCCGCACTTTTTTTCCTTTCACGAAAAATTATTGCACGTTCTCCGAGTGTCCCCCGGGGATTCAGTTAGTCCGGAGATTGTTGCAGATACGCGACGATGGTGAACAGCCAGTTTAAAGTGATCGTGCTCGGCCAGTCGCTGGTCAGCATGACCACGATAAGCGTGAACCTCTATCAGCTGACGCAAAGGGATCTGGGATCGAAGCTCCTGGAAGTGATACTTTACTCGTTCAACACGCTCGTACAGATCTTTTACTACTGTTGGTACGGGAACGAAGTGAAACTGAAGGTGTTCGGTCTTTCCAGAATTTTTTTTCGGTCTTTCCAGAAATGCGCAGAGTGCGCAATACTCACGCTGTCCATCATTTTTCCAGAGCCTGGAAGTTCCGAGACTGATATTTCAAAGTAATTGGCCGACTTTGGACACGAAAGCGAAAAGAATGCTCTTGATGATGATAAAACGCTCTAGGATTCCCATCGAGTTCACCGCCATCTACATGGTGTCCATGGACCTTCAAACGTTCATGGCGGTCAGTAAAGGATTTTCCACGCGCAGAAACTTGGAACGCCGATCGGGAAGAGCTTCGAGTCGAAAGCGAGACACTCTTTGATTTCTTTCCTCGGTAGGTGCTGAAAACCTCTTACTCGGCGTACAATTTGCTGCAGTGAACCAAGGGACGCCGAAAGCCGCGTGCAAACCCATCGGACGTACAGAAGAAAACTGAGATTGTTCGTTCCGGGGAAGTGGAGGGAAGAGGGCAAGCGATCAACTGAATGTAGACTGCGACAAAAAATGTTGCTGATAGAAATAAATATTCGAGAAAACTGATAATGTCTGTACGTCTGAAAGAGCGATTCCCCTGGCACAACAGCGTTTCTCGCCGAAACGCCTGTTTACTCGAAATACGATCGCAGAGAGAAAATTGCGCGAACAAAGAATCAACAACGCACAGATAGTCGCGGCTAGTTTGAAAGTTAAGATTACCCTTTCATCGTCCTGTAACGATCCTGTCTCCGTCCGATAACTCCACTTGTCGGTCTCACAGTGACGGTAAGAAATAATGTGAAGGGTAGCGAAGGGAAGTTACGTTCAGGAAAGGTTGCGTGCTTATTATCGGAATAGAAGTGTATTCGCCGAGTAAGTCGTGTGGCTGGAAATAATTACGATAATGGCATAGTCTACGTACTACAGAAGGGAAGCCGACTGATCCGAGGGTGCAGGGAAAGGAGGGTACCGATACTCGATAGCGGCCAGTAACGCATCAACTTTTGTCGTAGAAACTGTCGAGACGTAGCGATATCGCCAACCGAATGGTTATCCCAGCGAATCTTCGACGATCGATTAGCAACGACCTCTTAACGATATACTACACGTTCGGTGTTGCGAACGAACAAACTTCTGGAATTTAGACGTGTAACGGGCCGACTCGGCAACAGAATAGGAAAGTCGTAAGTTTCTCTTGGTCGGAAAGGAGATCTATTTCAAAGGGCAGAAACACACTTCGGATGAACACTATTGGAACAAAAGTTCATCGAACGAACGATGCCAACGCTGCAATGGACGTCCACGGTATTGTCAGCGTTGGGCTGCCAAAGACCGTCCACTTGGACGAGCCCGCCGAGAAAGTTCTGGTACAAAGTTTACGGGTTTGCGACGCTACTTATGGTACAGACTGTGGCGGCATCGGCGATTCTGGATATAGCGTTCAACGTGAGGAATCAGGATGATTTCAGCGACAACTTGTACCTCAGCATGCCCATGGTGATTTCTTGCTGTAAGATGTGCGCCTTCTTAGCCAATCGCGAAAGCATTACGTCTCTACTGAACTCTTTGCAAGAGAAACCCTACTCGCCTGCCGGCACAGTGGAGATGAGCATCGACGCGAAGTACGATCGCATAAACGAGTGAGTTTTTCCTTCCCCTAATCCCTTCCCCTAATCCCTTCCCCTAATCCCTTAACGTAATCGTCGAATTTTCACTCTATAAGAAAAAAGTGTTTGCCGATAGAGTGATTCCGATTGAAAAATATGATCTCGTTGCGAGATAAAGAACAATTCCATAGGCTTCTCAGGATGAAGTTTCTTTAAAAAGGATTCTTACCATGATTGCAGGAGAATAACGGTCGGATACACGATTTTAACCGAATTTTCCGTAGCAATATCGTTAATCGCGGCGATAATAGAAAATCCGAAGAACAGGGCGTTGACGTTTCGCGCATGGGTTCCCTACGACTACTCGTCGCTGCCTTTGTACACTGTCACTTTCCTCTACCAAGCTACGGGTGTGACGCTCGGATCTCTCATGAACGTCGCTTACGATTCCCTGTTCAGCGGGATGATGTTCTGCATATACAGCCAGCTAGAGATCGTCGGCCATCGTCTGCGGAAGGTGACGGGAGACGACGAGCAATCGGTGAAACAGTGTGCACGACACCTCGACTATATATACCAGTGTGTTTCTAATCTCTTCGCTCTCACGTTTTTAATTAGAATCGCACGCGCAGCGATGACAATACCAACTAATCGCTTTAGGGGTGACTTCGGTATCGGTCGGTAGTCGACGCGTGAACCGGAGGATGCATTTTACACGATACTATCATTCATGAGAAGACATTCGTAATTCAGTGTTTACGATAGTTGTACAATTTCTCGAAATTATTGCAGATTCGCCGCGAAGATAAACGAAGACTTTCAGATAGTGTTATGTATACAGTTTGTCGCGAGTATGTTCATCATATGTTTCACCCTTTATCGAATCGCACAAATGGATTTCGATTCGAGACTGCTCGAGATGGTTGTGTACGCGATTTGCATGCTTCTGCAGATATTATACTACTGTTGGTACGGGAACGAAGTCAAGCTGAAGGTGCATTCTCGACATGAGAAGATCTTCGTTGCCTTGAAATCTAATAACGTATCGTAATTCTGATTTTCAGAGCCTGGAGATCACAGATGTGATATTTGCGAGCAACTGGACGAACTTGGATAACGCTACCAAGAAGACTCTTTTGATAATCATGCTGCGAGCCACGTTCCCTATCGAATTCACCACCGCTCATATTATGTCGGTGAATATAGACTCCTTCATGGTGGTTCGTATCGTACCTTCAACTGATTTTAATCTAGCCTAGTTTCCCCTCTTTACGTCGCTTCGTACCCTACGATATCGAAAGGGAAGAAATCGTACGATCCTAGTAATTATTCTAGGTGCTGAAAACTTCTTATTCGGCGTACAACGTGCTGCAACAAGGCTAACGAAACGTCTATCGGACGATAACACAATTGTAACTCATTATTGAAATAGAAACATATTAGAATATCTAAAGTAACGTGAAATTCATGTGTAATACGGTACGAAGATTTGTAATATATCATTGTAACAAAGTCCACGAGCGTAACAGTTCTCTTTCCAGTCTCCCGACGAGGAACATTTCCGCCTGCGCACATTCTCGTTCGTTGAATTTCGCGCGGAGACTATCGCTGGTCACCAATGGAAGGCCGGTAGCACGCAGTCTTTTCAAATATGTATCGTGCCTTCCACGGTAAAGAAAACGACACCGTTCTATCGTTCCTGCACGGTGATTTCATTATTGAACATTGCCCGTTTCTCTGAACGAACGATCTTTCGAGTCTCGTAGTCGTCGATAATTGCGATAATGACAGGTTCCACGTCAGAAGGGAAAACATCGAGAAGGGACCGCCTGCGCGCAGGGTGCAGAGAAAATACCGATAGTCATCGGTAGTCAGTAAGATACAATCCTTTGTCGCGCGAAGCCGAGCCGTGAGTCGCGTGTTTGCCCCAACCGTTCTAGAGAAATTCGCGAGCACGGTTCCGGAATTTCTAAATGTAACGGAGAATCGACGACCGCGTAATATAGAGAACAGTTGTATGTCGGTCTCCGCCAAGAGAAACCTGCTCGACAAAGCAGGCGCGCGCTTCGAGCGAATGAATAATATTATTGCTAGAAAAGTCGATCAAAAGTTGAACGATGCCATCGCTGCAATGGACCACCACGATGTTGTCAATGTTGGGCTGTCGAAGACCGCCTACTTGGACGTCCCCGAGCAAAAAGCTCTCGTATAAAGTGTACGGGTTCGTAACGCTCTTCCTGACACAGACTCTGACAGCGTCTGCGATTCTGGATGTAGCGTTCAACGTGAAGAATCAGGAGGAATTCGGCGACAACTTGTACCTTACCATACCCATGGCGATATCGTGCTGCAAAATGTGCAGCTTCCTGGCCAATCGCGAAAGCATTACGTCTCTACTGAACTCTCTGCAAGAGAAACCCTACTTGCCTGCCAACACGGCGGAGACGACGATCGAGACGAGATACGATCGAATAAACGAGTGAGTAAGAACAACCGACTTTCCTATTTGCTCGATCACATTCTAAATGAGATTCTCAATGAGAAACTGAAAGGGACAGAGAAACGTTATCCCGATTGCAGGAGGATATCGACGCTATACACAGTTACGATCGAACTCTGCATATCGCTGATGATAGTCTCCTCGATGATAGTGAATACAAAGGACAGAGTGTTAACGTTTCGCGCGTGGCTTCCGTACGACTATTCGTCACCGATCTTGTACGCCGTTACTTTCGCCCACCAAGCTGTAAGTGTGACGATCGGCTCTCTTATGAACGTCGCTTACGATACTCTGTTCAGCGGACTGATGTTCTCCATATACAGCCAGCTGGAGATCCTTGGGCATCGACTGCAAAATATCACCAGAAATCACAGAGAATCGGCGAAGCTGTGTGCGCGACATCACAACTACATATACGAGTACGTTTCCTCCTCTACGGTTAATTAGGAGCACTGGTAATTTCGTTATAAAAATTCGTAGCAGCATCGAGCGGAAAGATTGATTCTCGCGAATGATTGCAGGCTCGCGGGAAGAGTGAACGGAGACTTTCAGATGGTATTGTGCGTACAGTTCGCGTCGAGTATGACGATCATCTGCTTCACCCTCTATCGTATCACGCAAACGGATTTAGGCTCGAGATTAGTCGAGACTTGTATGTACGCGGTTTGCATGTTAATGCAGATATTCTACTACAGTTGGTACGGGAACGAAGTGAGGCTGAAGGTTCATTGCTAATGCGAGAAGATATTCGAGTTCTTCTTTCTCTCGTCGGCTCGGAATCTAATGTAACTTTGATTTTCAGAGTCTCCAGATTTCAGATTCGATTTTCGCCAGTAACTGGTCGAGTTTAGATGACGGTACTAAGAAGATTCTCCTGATGATCATGCTGCGGGCTACGTTCCCTATCGAATTCACGACTGCCCGTGTCCTGACGGTGAACCTAGAATCGTTCGTGTCGGTCAGTATCGCATTCTAGTCAGTTTACCAATTAATTCATCGAAATATACAATATAATCCATGTTCGTCCCTGTTGCCTTCGCTATGCGTTGACCGGATTTGTCTTGTTCGATTTCGAATCGGTTCTAATAGCGAAAGGAACACGCGTCACCGCGAACGACTAATAGAATAGAGAATATAATGTTGTGTAGAAGAAAGTCTACGACCGTAATAATTATTGTAGGTGCTGAAAACTTCTTATTCGGCCTACAACGTGTTGCAGCGAGGGTAATCGGTTGAATGCGACGATAATCACGATTGTAATTCTAACTCGACGAAAAACCTAATAGAACGTGTGTAAACTATTGGTCAGGATTAGCAATAAATTCTGGTTAAAACTCGCAGTTGTTCGCCATTGACAATATAAGAAGCAACTCGCCTTTCACGCGACGTCTTCTCATTCCTGTGAGCCTGTTCGCGAGGTAACATTCGCGTTTCAAACGAAAACGAATCGAGCGCGCACGGTTGCTGGTGGCTCGTTTCAATAATGGAGCAGCCGTTATCGGTTCGAACCTAGAACCTAGGCTAGAAACTATCGTTTCTCCTTGACCGTTCAATTATGAAATAGCGAGCCTATATCTGCTCGTTCTTTCGCGAACGAGCTGACGAGGCAACGTGGATAAAATAAAGGAGCAATTACGTTCGGCTGTAGAAGTCGCGTGGCAACAGGTTATTGCGATAATGACACAGTCCGCGTGGCGGAAGGGAAAATATTGAGACGAAACTTCGGAGGTGGAAACTTAGGATTTTGATAGTCTATAGTACTCTCTCTCTTAGTAACGTTTCAGGTTCTGTTGCAGGCAGGTAAGAACAGCATGGTTCTTCAGTGATGGTTCTGCTGTGAAACAAACAATCATTCGAGAACTTTTGCCGAGTGAACGATCACGAAGGATAGGAGAATAGTATCGTATCTTTGAATCCGATCGAAAGAATACATCTTGTGGATGAATGAACAAAATCAACTTGTACAGAATTAGGGATGGTAACGCTACGGCGGACATTCTCGCTTCTAACGTATTTGGGATGCCTATCGCCACCCAGCTGGACATCCGTGTCCAAAAGGATTTTATACAGAGCGCACTCACTTTTGATAGCCATACTCCTACTGAGCCTAGTATTATCCTCGCTTCTGGACATAGTGCTCGAGGTCGAAAATCAGAATGATTTTAGCGACAACTTTTACTTGACGACAGCCATGATGGTCGGCAATTACAAGATGTTTAATTTTCACACGAAACGGGAAGCTATTATGGTTCTGATAAACAATATGCGCAAGAGACCGTTCTCGGCCGAGGATCAAGCGGAGAAGAATATTATGACGAAATACCGAAAGATGATCGAGTAAGTTTCTCATCCTGCCACTATCTATCCGGTTTCGAAGAAATGAACGATCGTATAAATATTGTACATTTCCGGCGTTACAGAAACAAGTCGACGGCATACATAGTCGTAATTGAGATCTACTTAATCGTAATGTGGACCACCTCGCTCTGCAGAGATCCTAAAGAGAGAAGACTACCGATCCGTGGATGGATTCCGTACGACTACTCTACTCCGATTTTGTACGGCGTTACTTACTGTTATCAAGTATTGAGTACAGTGTCTGCCACGTTTATGCACGTCGCCAACGATATATTGTTCAGCAACTTGATGCTGTTGATACACTGCCAGTTGGAAATCCTCGAGTATCGTCTGCGACAGATCAACAACGACGACAAGGGATCGGCGAGAGAATGCGCTCGTTACCACGAGTACATATACGAGTGGGTTTTTCATTTTCCTTTGTGTCCTAGAAACTCGAGTTAACGATCGATTTATTAACGTTGATTCTCCGAACGATGAAACATTCGAAAAAGCCGAATTCATTTCGATTGGTTAATGCCGGTTCTCCGAACGATTGCAGATTCGCAGCGGAAGTGAACAAAATCTTTCAAGGAGTATTGTGCTTTCAGTTCCTGGCGAGTGTAGGGATGATCTGTTTCAATCTTTACCGAATCACGCAAACCGAGCTGGGCCCGAGAGTGTACGAAACGTGTCTGTACACGGTTATCACACTGTTACAACTCTTTTACTACAGTTGGTACGGGAATGAAGTCAGACTGAAGGTTTACTCACAGGACATGACAAGACAATTGCCAGCTGACCACCTTCCATAATGTGATATCACGTCACTTACGTTTCCAGAGTCTCGAACTTCCGGAAATGATCATCCGGAGCAACTGGACGAACTTGGACAACGAGACGAGGAAGATTCTACTGGTTATCATGCTACGGGCCACTCTCCCCATCGAGTTTACGAGTGCTCACGTTCTATCGGTCAACGTGGAAACTTTTATGACGGTCAGTACGAACACTGAAATCATTCGTTGTCACCCGCCTGTTCGCTCAATTTATCCTCTCGATTGTTCCAGGTACTGAAAACATCTTATTCCGCGTACAACGTGATGCAAAGGTAACCGACCACGATCCAAATGAACAGCAGAGAAGGGAATTCCGTTTAAAAAGACTACTAGAACATGTACAGATAGATACATTCAACTTTCAACCGTAAATATTTCGGAAATATAACATGTCCGATGACTTTGGTGAAATTCACGTTTATACCGTAGAGGGAATCGGGCTAAAATCGAAGAACGGCCCCTTTGAATCGTAATAACAAAGTATTTCGAGCGTGATAGGTATAAACGATAGCGTGAAACCTTTTTTTCCAAGTCTTAAGTTCCGTTAAGTGAATATAATATCTTTGCCTGTGAGGAAATCAAAGACTTTTTAAATAAAAACATTTATTCAGTTACGAAGGGAAATACGATTTTTCGAATGTATCGAAATATCCGGTTCGCAACGATGCTAGGATAAAATTAAATCACTTTTTGTTCTGCACTGGTGCAATCAATTAAGGTGCGTAGAATCCGGTAGTGTAGCTGTTACTTCGAACATCCATGTAACATCGAAGCTTCGTCACCGAGAATATCAGTTTTCGAACGGTTTTAGTCGAAAAACAACTGCCTCACTGTTTCGCTGATCTTTCTGAATTTCTTCATCTATGAAAAACATTACTGTCCCGTATCACCCTACTTTCCCCTACGCAGATTCGTAACGCATGGTTACTATGAAGTTCAAAAGCGCGACCTCCCTTCCCAGTCTTCCGACAAAGAATACTTTTTCTCGCGCACGCTCGTTTTCATTCAATTTCGCCCTAGCATTGTTGCTATTGATCAACGAAAGACCAATAGCGGGGAATTTCTCGTCTTTTCAAATCTATATCGTTTCTTTTGTTCGCTAAAAAAAAAGCGAGCGACTACTTTCCTGTTCCATCGTTCCTGCTCGATCATTTCATTATTGAACATTCTCCGTCTCTCTGAACGTACGATCTTACGCGAGGCTGACGATTCCGATAATTGTGATAATAACATAGCCCGTGGTATGTACTAGAAGGGAAACTATCGGGAAGAGGCCGACTGCGCGGAGGGTGCAGAGAAAATACCAATAGTCACCGGTAGTCAGTATCCTGTGAGCCTCAGTCGCGTCAAGTCAGCATTGTGGAAGATAAACAACGATCTAGAGAACATTCTCCATTGATCGTTTCGAGCGGCATTGACTTTCGTAATTTCGTAATTTCGTAATTTCGTAATTTCGTCATTTCGTCATTTCGTAATTTCGTCATTTCGTCATTTCGTGATGCTAACTCTACGAATGACGTTCATGATCTTGAAAGTGTTGGGCTGTCTCAGACCGGTCACATGGACGTCCACGTCCAAGAAGTTGTTGTATAAGGTGTATACGGTTCTAGTGTTGATTATCCTAGAATCGTTGTTGCTGACGTTAATTCTGGACATGGTATTCAACGTCGAGAATCAGGATGACTTTAGCGACAACTTGTACGCGCTGATGCCCGTCATCACTTCTTCCTGCAAGCTGTGCAGTTTCTTAGCGAATCGTGAGAGGATTATGGGATTGATAAGCAAGGTAAAGAGAAAGCCTCATTTGCCAACCAGTGAGGCGGAGATGAGGATTCAGATAAGAATCGATGAAATGAACGAGTAAGTGTACGATCTTTTATTCTCTTCCTGTTGATTCGTGCAACATTATTACCGCGTTGTTTTAATCGCACAATCAAAGTTGCTCGAGTTTTCACCGTAAATACCGTAGAAGGTGAGGGGTTCAAGTTGAGATTGTTCCGACGGCAGGAAGCTGGCAACAGTGTTCACGAGCGTGTTCGGCAGCTGCGTACTAATCATATGGATCACCTCGCTGATCAGAGACACGAGGAACAGAGTGTTAGCGTTCCGCGCCTGGGTACCGTACAACTATTCGTCTCCGACTCTGTACACGGTTACCTACACTCATCAGGCGCTAAGCGTAACAGTCTCCTCGCTGATGAACATCGCGTACGATACTCTGTTCAGCGGACTGATGTTCTCCATATACAGTCAACTGGAGATCCTCGGGCATCGTCTACGAAATATCAGGAGCGATCAGAGGGGAACGGCGAGAGAGTGCGCGCGTCATCTCAACTACATATACGAGTGTGTTGATCGTTTCTCTTCTACCTTAGAGCCCGTTATTTAGTTCTGCCGATTAATGAAATGATCTTTGGTTAATTTCACTGAAAATTTACAAATTCACGGGAAAACGTCGAATCGCCAGAAAATCGATTGTCCACTTACTTTCGAAACGATTGCAGCTTTGTGGCGAAGATGAACGAACGTTTCGAATTAGTGTTGTGCGTTCAGTTCCTGACCAGCGCGTTGAGCATGTGCTTCGTGCTTTACCAATTCACGCAGAGCGATGGAAACGCGAGACTGGCCGAGATGTTCATGTACGCGGTTTGCATGCTAGTAGAGATATTCTACTATTGTTGGTACGGAAACGAAGTCAGGCTAAAGGTTCATTATCAAGATAATTAAGACCGAGCTTCCGAAAGTTTTCCAATCGGTCGGAATCCAACGAAATCTCTCGTTTCAGAGCCTCGAAATTCCAGACGTGATTTACGCCAGCGACTGGTTAAATTTAGACGAAAAAACAAAGAAGACTCTCCTAATGATCATGATACGTTCTAGAATCCCTATGCAGTTCACCAGCGCCCACGTCGTTTCGATGAACATAGACACTTTCATGACAGTCAGTGCGAACAGATATATTTTTCTATATCGTGTATCGTATATTCACTATCGATAACAATATGCAACTACACTATTGCATATAGTCTACGATAAGAGTATATTGTATGTTTTTATTCAAGGTACTTAAGACTTCTTACTCGGCGTACAATGTGCTTCAGCAAAGGTAATCGTACCGAGGCGCGAGACGAAGCTGCGATTACGTATTGCGCGATGAAAATAATTCCACGGCATAGAATGAGATTTTACTAAAGACCATTGCAAGTTCCCGAGTCAAGTACGAGAATGTTCGCTGTGAATGGGAGTAACAGTATCTTAGCGTTAAACAAAATAACTTGCCTTCACGTGTTGTCGTATTCTCGTTTCTGTGATCCGTCCTGTCCTGCGATTAACCATCGCGTGCTGTCGAAAGGCGTGCTGCGTTTCCTTTCAGTTTTTCACCGCGCACCGGCTGTATCGCATCGAGTCAGACTATCGCGCGACTATTCCACTTCCTCCCGGTTAACCGCGACACGCGTGTCCACATCGTGACTGTGGCCGACCGCGCGCTTTTCACAGTCACCTGCGATTTCGTGTTCGGCAAGTTCTCGCGTGTTTCAACATTAATGTACACGAGAAGCAGCTGCGGAGAGTACAATATGTTTCGCGCCAAACTCACGCTGTTACTTCCTCTTTGAAGAAGTTGAAAGACAAGCGTGGCACATCTAAGGGACCTTCTCCCGTATCGGTGAATGATAATAAACGACAGATCGACTGCAACCGGTTCTCTATTGGAAAAGGACAGAAAGAAGAAGAAGAAGAAGAAGAAGAAGAAGGAGAAAAAAGAAAAGAAAGAAAAGAACGAAAAGGTTTCATTATTGAGGCTATTGTTGCAGCCGGCAAAGTGGATAAAAAGGAAGATGAATTATATGTCTCGAGGGTTGCAAGTTAGTAATTGCGATAATAACATGGCGCCGCCAGCCATGACGTAACCAGCAGGGGAAATATCGAGAAAAGATCTACTGGTTCGGGGGTAGAGAGAGAATTCCGACGGTCTATAGTAGTCAGTAACGTTTCAGATTTCTTTCAGTCAAGTCGAAATTGTTCAGCTGTGTTTTGGATTGTAATTTTGTTCGGCAAGTAAGTAATATATTGTAATGATAGATAGTTGAATGTTGTAGAGTAAAATTAGAAGCTCGTTGATACGAGGTGAGCGAGGAAAGAAGGTTCTCGGTAATAAAGGAGAAAAGTCGAGTTTCTAGTCAGCGAAGTAGCGAAGGTGAAACGAGATTTAATCGAATTCCTTAGGCGATGACAACTCTACGGTTCACGTTATTGATGCTAACAGCGTTAGGTTGCCTGCGTCCAGCCACGTGGACGTCCGCGTTGAAAAAGTTGTTGTACTCGATATACAGATGGATAGTGTTCGGTATCATACAGAGCGAGATGGCGACGCTGATACTGGATATAATGTACAACGTCGAGACTCAGGACGATTTCAGCGACAATTTCTACATGACGATGTCTCTGCTCGGTTGCAATTGCAAGCTGCTTAATTTCATGATCTATCGTGACGAGATTATGATTCTGATAAACACTCTGCGGGAAGAGCCTTTCTTGCCTAAAAATCCAGCAGAGGTGGACATAAAGATGAAATTCGATAAGATAATCGAGTACGTTTATCTTTCTCTGTTGTATCTCGGTTGGTTCATCTATCCGAATAGACGTTGACATTTATTTATTGACATTTAATACTTTCCGGGGTGCAGATCAAATGCAGTTCAATTTCTAACCGTAGTACAGTGCATTTTAATGGTGTCCTGGGTCAGCACACCGATCATGGAATCGAAGAGCAGAAAATTAGTGTTTCGCTCGTGGATACCGTACAATTACTCTTCACCGACACTGTACGGTGTCACGTATATGCATCAAATGATCAGCACGACAGCTGACACGGTTATGCACATTGCCGTCGACACTCTTTTCAATGGATTTCTCCTATGCATATATTGTCAGTTGGAGATTCTGGAGTATCGTCTGCAACATTTAGCGAAACACGAGCAGAATTCGGCGAAGGAATGCGCTCGTCACCATAACCGCATATACAAGTAAGTTTCTCGTTTCGATTCAACTGAACTGAACTGAACTGAACTGAACTGAACTGAACTGATTGAAAAAAATGGAAAATCTCCTAAACACGTATGCGAACATTCGACTGATTTGCCGACGCGATTGCAGGTATGCGGCGACTGTGAACAAAAGCTTTCAAGTGGTGCTGTGCTTTCAGTTCATAGCGGCTGGTTCGATGATTTGCTTCAACATTTACAGATTGACGCAAACGAAGATCACCGAGAAAGGAATCGAGACGATCATGCTCATGTTTTGCTCGCTGTTACAGATATTTTACTACTGTTGGTACGGGAACGAAGTTAAGCAGAAGGTTCGCTCTTCCCTCCTACGGAATTCGAGTAGGATTTCTACACTTGACTTCTCTTCGCCTAAGGAATCGTTCCTTTTTTCAGAGTCTGAAAATTCCTGATGCGATTCTCGCTAGCAACTGGGAAAGTTTGGATATCAACTCGAAGAGGACTTTACTGATGGTCATGCTACGAGCTACGTTTCCCATGGAGTTCACCAGTGCTCACGTTGTGTCGGTGAATTTAGAGTCATTTATGACGGTGAATACACACCAAATCAACTAATCGATCGATTAATTTACTAATCAGTTTGCCTCGTATATTTACCAGATCTGAAACATTTCTTTCACCCAGGTGATCAAGACATCTTACTCGGCGTACAATGTGCTCAACAGATAATTGCTCGAGTTCAATGGTGTTTTCGGCGGGAAGCCGGGTAGTTCGTAATTAGAATAGATAAACAACAGCAGGTATGCGCAAAGCATTCTTTGTCTCAGCGGTAGCAATAAATTCGATTTGAAATCCTCGTGTTGCGATCGTAAATACAATATTGTAGTAATTAAGCGTCAGATACCGCGATATTCCGTGACCAGTAATGATTCGCCATGATTCACGATAGAGACGGATCAACTATAAACGAAATATTATTTGGTAGAGTCCGATTATTGCGCGGTTATTCGACTTTCCGGCCACTGCGCATCGGACACGCCATCCATCGCTTACCGCACATTTTGTTCGGCAACTTTCCGAACCAACGTTACCACTGACAGTGAATATTTTCACTGAAACGTTCGTTCGGTTTGAATTTGATCGAAATATTCCTGGCATCGAGATACATGTAGATACAGAGAGTCGTCGGCAGTATCCCGTCCAGCTACCGTTCAAATATGTATCGGCCGTGTGTCCGTTAAAACCATCAACAATGTATCGTTCTTCCTCGACTGCTCCATTATTGAACACTGTTGTCCCCCTGTTACTAGCTTCTATTTCAGCGCGACACACCACATGTGGTTGCAACGGAGAACAACATTGAAGAAATCAAGAGAAAAATTATATACCACGGGGAACGAAAGCTTATTCTTGAAATATCTATTGCACGAGTCCCGGTGGTGACCAGTAATTTCGATAATAACATAGCCAGCCTACTGGACAGAAAAATATCGAAGAACGCAACGATGACGCAGAGGAGGAAGTACCGATATTCAGTAACGCGTTCGAGACTCGGTCGCATCGAGTCACGGCTGTAACCATCCCTCTAACATTTCGGTCTGGAATAACCCATCGATTCTTCGGCGTCATATGGATGAGAATAAAAGGGATTCGATGCATCTGTGAATGGTAAAATTCCGATGAAATAAATGTCCTGATTTCTAGCGAAAAACCAAATAGAAAATCGTCGAATTGAGAAAGAAGTATATCCTCGAGACAAGCGAACGTGAAAGGATCCTTAGAATGACGTTGCGAACGTTGGAATGGACGATAACGATTCTGACAGTGCTAGGCTGTCAACGACCGTCTACCTGGAGCTCCGCGTCGAAAAGATTCTTCTACAACGCGTACACGCTGCTCGTGCTAATTCTCGTGCAGAACCTCTTGGTTTCAGCTATTCTGGACTTGATGCTCAACGTCGATAATCAAGATGACTTCAGCGACAATTTGTTCTCGACCATAGCCATCGTCGTTTCTAGCTTCAAGCTGTGCAGCTTCTTAACGAATCGAGAGAGTATCGCGGTTCTGACCAGCAGTCTGGCGAAAGAGCCATTTTTACCAGTGAACCGAGAAGAATACGAGATTAGAACGAGATTCGATAAGATGATCGAGTAAGTATCCACAGCGAACTTTCCAGTGTATTCAAAGTAAGCGGTAGTAAGAAATCGAGCAGCAGAGTTGCGACCGCGAGTCCGATAAAAGCAATTACTGCTCCGATTCCAGGACGAGATCGATTCGATACACGGCTGCGATCGAAGTTTGCATAGCTTTCACGTGGATCAGCACGCTGATCATCGATGGGAGAAACAGAAAATTGGCGTTTCGCGTCTGGATACCTTACAACTACTCGTCTCTGAGTTGCTATTCCGTTACTTACATCCAACACGTAACGAGTGCCACGATTGCCTCGCTCGTGCACCCCGTGTGCGACACTCTGTTCAGCGGGTTGATGTTGTTCATTTACGGCCAGCTGGAGATTCTCGAGTACCGGCTGCAAAACGTCCCGAAAAGTAAGAACCAGTCTGCGAAAGAATGCGTTTGTCATCATGACTGCATATATCGGTACGTTCCTCGATATTATCTTTAGCTTCTCGTCCGAAACGTTCGGAACAGAGGAAATCGAAGAGACCAGTCGTTTCTGGTTGCGTATTCGCGCGATCTAACAAGAGATCGATGATTTCTGCAAATGATTGCAGATTCGCCAGGAATGTGAATAAAATCTTTCAGGGGATAGTGTCCGTCCAATTCTTGTCGAGTGTAGGGATGATGTGCTTCACGCTTTACCGAATGACGCAGGTGGGCTTAGGTTCGAAAGCTGTCGAGATGTTTATGTATGCGCTTTGCATGCTGACGCAGATATTTTACTACTGTTATCACGGTGACCAAGTGAAACAGAAGGTACAGTGACGTCGACGAGAATTTCACCGGATTAGCCTTGCCCCTGACCCCGTCGTTGGTCGTAACCTTTTGTTTCAGAGCCTCGGAATTCCCGATCTGATCATCACCACTAAATGGACAACTTTAGACGACGACACTAAGAAGATCCTTCTAATGATCATGCGACGAGCTACTTTTTCGATCCAGTTCACAGGTACATCTGTCGTGTCTGTGAATCTGGAGTCCTTCATGACAGTCGGTTCAATTGACTATTGTAAATCATTTAATCGACCGCGTCGGGTTTCAAAGAGTACCCATCGAAAAAACTTTCTTTGATTGAAGGTGATGAAAACTGCTTACTCGGCGTTTAACTTGCTTCAACAGAGGTGATCGAGATCGACTGTCTCGGAACGCAATGTTAGGACCTAATGTCGTGCAATATAATCGGAACATGTAAAGTATTCGATGCAAATACCATTAAATTGATCTTTAAACCTCCAGTTGCACGTCGATTGCTGCCCTAAAGCTCAGTTTCCGGTAAATTTCTTCGTGTTCTTGTGCATCACCCTCCGAATCTTACTACTGAGAAGAACATTGTAGGAGATCCTCGTAAACGGTAACCGTTGCAATGCCTTTGTACTCCCGGTAATGTCCATTTCATCTGTTCATTTTCCAACGAATTCGAATGAACTGGAAACAGAAAAATAGATAAAACAACGCGAGCTAAGTAATAATTTCCGCGGTGCGCGTATGTATTGTTGGAAAGATGATCGCATAGGTCGTTCAGTCGTGTTCCATGTAATTACCGTAATAACACCTGCCGAGCGTTCGATGAAACAGGAGTGAACCTCATAGGAATAAAGGGCTCTATAGGCCTCATTCGCATTTAAACTAGCGACGATCGAGGATCTAAAGCGGTCTCTCCTTCTCTTTTGCTCTCCCTCTGGAGTGTGCTTTCTCGTTAACTTCACTCGTAAAGAGGCACGTATTCTTCGGTAGAAAGAAACGTAAGAACTTTTCATGCGAGGGATAGAGTTTATTCGTGCACCATGGAACCGAGCTGTTTTAAAAGCTAGAGTGGTATTCTAATTCTGAAAAAGGGAATTTGCGTCGAAGAGAGCGAAAGATGCGCGTACTAAAGGGGATTTTCCATCTGTTAACCATCACCGGATATTCACGGCCGTCTCGTTGGACATCGCCGTTGAAGAAGAACCTCTACAGAGTGTACACGGCATGCACGTTTCTAACGCTACACACATTTTTAGTTACCGAGATCCTAGACCTTGTACTCGTGGCCGACAATCGGAACGATATCAGTGAAAATTTGTACACGACACTGGTTATGGTCGTCACTTGCTTCAAAATGGCTGCTCTGCTAACGAGCAGGGAGAACATTAAGATTTTGGCGAACCTTCTTAACAAGGAGCCGTTTCGGCCAGCGAACGCCGGGGAAGAGGACATTCAGTCGAGATTCGATGAAATGGCTATGTAAGTTGGGATCCATTGCTCGAAGGAAACTTTATTGAAAAGTATCGATTACAGACAGAGAACGAAGGCGTACTTGAGCATAGTCGGAGGTTGGGCGGTATGGGCGCATACGATGTCGCTGATCGTGGACTCCTCGACGGGAAAACTGCTCTATCGCGCCTGGTTACCGTTCGATCATACCACGCTGCTGGGTTACAGCGTTGCGTCGATTCATCAGATCGCATCCTCCATGATCTGCACCGCGACGAACACGGCGTTCGACAACCTGTTCAGCGGTCTGTTGATTCACACGTACTCTCAGTTCGAGATACTCGGGCACCGGCTGCGCAACATTCACGGGGACGAGGACGATTCGGTGAAACAGTGTGCTCGTCATCATGGCCTGATCTACAAGTTGGTCTTTCTAGTTTCGTAACGGTAGAGGTCCTAGGAGCATTCGCTGGGATTTAGTCAGCTGTAGATCGTACGCGAAAAGTGGCTCAAGATCAAAGCGTTTTCACGAGTACACTGGTATCCGTCGGCTTCACGGCGCGGTGTCGCTATACTATAATATACCGAGTCTTCTTCAAAGTTTTCTACGAGCCGTGTCCATTGGGAAACACGATTTCTAATGCACAGGACTCGCAGGCCGAAACTTTTAAGAAGACGCCTAGCCCTTTTCTCCTGGGAAAATTGTTCTTGCAGATTCGCAGGCATGGTGAACGGGGAATTCAGAGCCGTAATGTTTATGCAGTTTCTTGTGAGCACAAGCACGCTGTGTTTCGATCTCTTTCAGCTGAGCGAGAGCGAATTCGGCACCGAGTCGACCGACATGATCCTCTACGTGAGCTGCACTCTTCTGCAGATATATTACTACTGCTGGCACGGAAACGAAGTCAAGCTGAAGGTTCGAACAGCCCATAAAATTCATCTGTCTTTTGTTAGTCCGAGGAGGGGGGTTACAGGGAGGGTTAAATCGTGCGATTAACAAATTTCATTGCCGCAATGATTTGCAGAGTAGCCAAGTTCCGGACATGATATTCGAAAGCGACTGGACCCGTTTCAGCAACAACGCTAAGAAGATCCTGCTGGTGATGATGAACCGAGCAACGGTGCCGATCGAGTTCACCAGCCTCTACCTCGTGACCATCAATCTCGAATCTTTCAAGGCGGTTCGTACGAAACTGATTCTTCGAACTTTTTAGGAGAATCGAACACTCGAATGTTGCAAACATCTGCGATCCAAGAATCGTGGACTATTCTAGAAAAACTAATCAGCAGCGGCTGGTTAATCGAAGACAGACACCGAGTAATTCGATGTCTGTTTGCCGCAGTTGGTCAAGACGTCTTACTCGGTATTTAATCTACTTCAGCAGACGAAACAATGACAAGAACGATCATGGACTATATCGGTTCACGGTTCGATCGAAAACATTATTGAAACGAACTTTTCGAAAAACGCAGAAAACGGATAGAGAACGGACAGAGAACGGGCGAAAAAGAAGTAACCGAAGGTTACTTTGGCGTATAAGCAAGTGTATACATAGATTAAAGTTATTATCTACCTGAGAAAATTCTTGATGGTCGTACATTATTTGTAGAACGTACCTTGATACTATCGCAATATTATGCGATTTCATCTTCTTCGCAGAAGAAACTTGCTTGCGTAGATACATTGGAAAACTAGCAACGAGATGGAAATAACGAGACTTCGATATTCGTTATTAAAGGCATGAAGCTTTCGAAGAGAAGATACTGCCGCGGACGTGGAGGAGACTATAATAGCTTTGTTCTGTCGGTAAGGTTCCTACGCTGTTTCCAAAGAACTCGAATCAATTGAAAATAAAAAGCTAGAGAAACCGGCGTAAGCTAAGTCATAATTGCCACGTTGCGTATGCATTCTTAAAGAAGTGATCTGACAAGTCGTTCCGTGCAATTACCGTGTAATAACATATCCCGGTCGTTAGGGGGAGCAGAGGCGAATGACGTTGACTACCTCGTACGAGTAGAAGGGTTGCTGATTCTCCGTAGCCTTCAGTGCTAGTTAGAATCGCATCGATCGAGGATCAAATGCGGTTTCTCTGTTCGTGATTGCTCGCTACTTGAATTGATAAAATAAACAAGTACGCACACGGTACGGTAGCAACAAAGACTAAAATATTTTGCAGCAAGAGTAGACTTTGTTCTGTGATCGTATACCACGGGAGCCAAAAGTTTGAAAAGTTAACACGTCGACCGCCACGAGAATTTCGAGCGTCTCGTTTCTATCAAAGGTAAACGCTATCGTTCAACTGGCCACGCAACTAAATAGATACTTAGATACGACAACAGTTTTCTTCTTGCAATTGTTTCCAAGTAGTTCGGGCGATCCGGTAATGACCGATTATAATCGGTGAGCACCGCGGCGGTGAACGTGTTAAAGGCGCATTTTCGTAGAAACACATTCGAGGATGCGTGTGCTAGAATATGTTTTCAATGTCTTAACGATCCTCGGATACTCGCGGCCACCTTCTTGGACGTCGCCGTTTAAAAAGTTTCTCTACAACGTGTACACGACGTCCGTGTTCGCGGTGATACAGGCACTCTTGGTCAGCGAGGTGCTAGATCTGGTCCTGGTGGTCGACAATCAAGACGATTTCGCGGATAATGTGTACATGATGACGGTTATTCTCATTACTTCCTTCAAGATGTCCGGTCTGATGAGGATGAGGGCGAACATCGATATGTTGATTGATACTCTTAACGAGAAGCCGTTTTGCCCGGTGAACGCCGAGGAACTGAACATTCGAACGAAATTCGACAATATGGCCGCGTAAGTTGCGTTCCCCGAGTTCCCCGAGTTCCCTGAGTGCACATTAATGCCTAACAAACGTCCGATAAAATTTAAAGAGACTCGAAGCACATAGTAAGCGACACACCGTGGTGCACGCGTTCTTTGCGTCCTATAAGAATGCTTATAAATCCGTTCGATTGCTTCGAAAACAAGTAAACAAATCCTAATTCCAAGTGTCTCGATCTCGTGTATCTCTAGCAAGACTAAAGTATTGCTTGCAGACAGAAAACGAAGGCGTACTTGAGCATGGTCGAAGGTTGGGTGGTATGGGCGCACACGATGTCGCTGATCGTGGACTCCCCGACAGGAAAACTGCTCTACCGCGCCTGGTTACCGTTCGATCATACCACGCCGCTGGGTTACAGCGTTGCGTCCATTCATCAGATCGCATGCTCCATAATCGCCACCGCGACGAACGCCGCTTACGACAGCCTGTTCAGCGGTCTGTTGATTCACGTATACTCTCAGTTCGAGATACTCGGGCACCGGCTGCGTAACATTCACGGGGACGAGAACGATTCGTTGAAACTGTGTGCTCGTCATCATGACCTGATCTACAAGTTGGTGTTCCAAGTTTCGTAACGGTAGAGATCCTAGGAGCATTCGCTAGGAGTTAGTCTCGGGTTTAGATCGGAACCGATAAACGCTGGTCCTCGGGATCCGTGTCGCGTTTCCAACACGACGAAAATACCATCCCTCGTCCCTGACGTCCTTTGCAGATTCGCCGGGATCGTGAACAAGGAGTTCAAGAGCGTGATGTTCATGCAGGTTCTCATGAGCACGTTCACGCTCTGCTTCGACCTCTACCAACTGACCATGCACGAATTCAGCAGCGGCTCGGCCGACATGGTGCTCTACGTGTCCTGCACCCTGATGCAGATATATTACTACTGTTGGCACGGGAACGAAGTCAAACTGAAGGTTCGCTGTGCGATCCCGTAACGTTCACCCGTCTTTGATTAGCTTCTTGAGCTGCGACGACAGCTGCAGCGAAAATCTAAGTAACCCCTGTTGTTACCTTCCGTTGCAGAGTCTGCAAGTGACAGACATGATATTCGAAAGCGACTGGACCCGTTTCAGCAACAGCGCGAAGAAGATTCTGCTGGTGATGATGAACCGAGCAACGGTGCCGATCGAGTTCACCAGCCTCTACCTCGTGACCATCAATCTCGAATCTTTCAAGGCGGTTCGTACGAAATTCATTGCTCGAGCTTTATTAGAGGAAGTTAGTTTTCAATCTCGCGATCCTCTACGACCTGAAAAAACCGTAGCCTGGTCCAGAACCGATTGTTCAATAATGGCAAACCAAGTAATTCGAGTGTCTGTTTGCCGTAGCTGGTCAAGACATCTTATTCGGTATTTAATCTACTTCAGCAGACCAAATAATGACAGTTGGACAGAGGAGGACCATGTCCGTTCTGCGAACCCGTTTCGAATGGAATTTTTCGAAAAGTGCAGAAAACGGATGGAGGGCGGGTGCAAACGAACAAGTTGAGAGCTACTTTAGTGTACAAGCACGTATGTAGAGTAAAGTAATCCATTGGGTAATATTGTTGCCGGTGTTGTATTAATCGTGGAACATACCTCGATGCGATCATCCGATTCTTACCCTCTTCGCGGAGAGAACTGATCGAGATCCGTTCGAGAACCGACGAACCGTGCGGAGCACGGCACCCTCGTCAGAAATGTTCAAATCTATCATTTTTATTCGTCCGTAAACGACTCACCCTCCGTTTCGCGTTTTCTCCTCTCGCGACGCAACTCTGCGGACGTCGGAGAAATTGTAGAGCGTAAACGGATAATTCCGCGAGTCGCGTCGTCGGTGTAATGACGATAATGATAGGGGATGCGGAAGGGTCGCCTTCGGAGGAAACCTTCGGAAGAAAGGCCTGCCGTGGAGCCTCGGGAAATATCGATACTGCGCTGTCGAGCCAGTGATACTTGGAACTTGCTCGCGCAAAGTCTTTAGCGCGCGCTCGCTCAACTGCCGAGTAGACATTCCATTTGTTGGCTGTTCGGAGGTTCCATTGGATCTTCCGGTGATATGAATCTGCTAAGATGGGTGCACAAGTTGCTGATTATTTCCGGCTGCAAGCAACCAGAGTCCTTAAAGTACAGCAACCTCAGGTTTCTGTACAACGCGTACACGTTCCTCGTGGTTTTCTTAGTTCACGCTCTTCTCTTGGGCGAGATTTTCGACCTGATCCTCACCGTGGAGAATCAGGAGGATTTCAGCGACAACATCTACCTGACTCTCGGAATGATCGTCACGTCCTCGAAGATCTGTAGCTTGTTGAGGAACAAGAAGAAGATAGTGTCTTTGATGGAATTGCTGCAGAGGGATCCTTTCTCGCCGTCGACCGCGGAGGAGGAGCAGATTTGCGCAAAGTTCGACAGGATCACGCAGTAAGTTTGCGATTAATCTGCAAGTGGAATCCTTCGATTGACGTTAGAGTACACGGGCGGAAGTTTGTTCACAGATGGAACGCGATCATGCACACGGTGACAGTGGCAACCAGCGGCTTCTGTATATACGGGTTGTCGTTGCCCGCGGATTTCAAGAGCAAACAACTCAGATTCCGCGCCTGGATGCCGTACGATTATTCGTCGGAATTTTCCTTTACGCTTACGTACGTCTGTCAATTCGTGACAGTGATGTTCGCTGCGATCGCAAATCTGACCAGCGAGAATCTGTTCAGCGGCCTGATGATACACACTCTCGGCCAGTTCGAGATACTCGAACTTCGACTGCGGAATATCGAGAAAAACGAGAACCATTTGGCGAGGCGGTGCGCTCACCATCACAAGCAAATATACAAGTTGGTTTCCCAACAGGAATTCTAATCTCAAATTTATAATGTTTAATCTCTAATTTGGAATTTCTATCCTGAATGTGCTGTGAAACGATGATTAGATTGAGTCATGAATAATATCCATTCCTAAAGTAGGTCCCCTCCAAGAAATTATTGGTCTCGTTTTAGTCTGATTGATAGAATTCTCAGGGTATAAAATCTAACAGGGAATGCAAAATGGAAATTCTTTTACTCTTGACTCAATGTGAATGCAATTAACGCATGCGAGGATTGCGCATTTGGTGAAACGATTTTTGTAAACCGATGCAGATTCGCTACGATGATCAATGAAAAGTTTAAGGTGATCGTGTTCATTCAATTCACGACGAGCGTGATGTCGCTGTGCATCAGTCTCTATCGATTCACGCGAAACGTGACGAACGCGATCTTCTTGGAAGTGCTTCTGTTCTCGTTGTGCACGATCATTCAGATCTTTTACTACTGTTGGTTCGCGAACGAAGCCAAACTGAAGGTGCACTGGTTTGTGCTATGAGATTTTCATTTGGTTTCGCTCCGCTGGATTTCACTCGGAATTCCCCCTGGTTGTAGAGCCTCGAATTACCGCAGAAGATACTCCACAGTAATTGGACCTCGTTGCAGATCGACACGAAGAAGATTCTCTTGATGATCATGAGACGAGCGACTGTGCCCATCGAAATCACGAGCGGTGTCATGGTCAAGATGGACATTGAATCTCTGAAAGTTGTCGGTACCGAATACGGCCGTTATTTCGAACGTTGAACCACACAAGTACCTTTCCAAAGGCACATTTCGTTGCAGATACTGAAGACTTCTTACTCGGCGTTCAACATGTTAAGGCAAAATCAATGACGAGGATGTCGATGACGATTCTACTAAAGCGTCGGATAACCTTTCGATCAAACAATTGTAGTCTACCTCTAGTGTATCTTCCTTCAACGGTCCTCTTATCGATAAGGATATATCTGTTGACTGCGAACGTGCGAGGCAATTCCAAGCGATTGGAGGTATGGCAACAGTATCGCTTTCTTTTATCTTTGTAATTTGAATAAAATATTTCCCATGAAAGATCAGAAAAGAGCGGCCCATTGTTTGTCTGTCCAAGTGCCAGGCATCCGAAAACTATGTATTCAGAATTAGAAAGTGTTACTCGGTTGCCCGAGTCGAAACTAAACACCTTTAAATATATTTCTTGGACACCCTCCAACTATTCGGTAGGAGAATGTTGCCGATGAAATAGGATTGTTTATTGAACTCTACGGAGTCTAACCTATAGGCGACTATCCAATATCTGCATAATCACCGATCGATGATTCTTCGAAAGAAATACCGATTCGCGGAACCAACCACGAATCCGCATGATTCGACGTATTGTAGAAAGGGAGGCGAAAATAAATATTCCGCTCGAAAATACGATATTTTCCACCTTCGAAATTAACAGATTTACGTTCTTCAATATCTATATTGACTGTGATTCGTTGGAAAACAATTAGATCGACTTACAGATAGAAATGAATGTCCTACCGCGGATCCCAAAGAGCAGTCGGTCGGGCAAGTGTACCACGGAGCGAGTTGTGTCCTCGGCGATCGACGAACGACAGCGAACTGAAAAGTGAAAAGCGACAAGTAAAAAACTGCAAACTGCAGCGTTGATCGTTTATTCATTTTTGCGGACAGAGTCTTTGCACGACAGAGTCATTACCGTTACTACAATACATCCGTCGCGAAGTCGTCCCTTCGTTTACTGGTGGTGTTTCGATCGGTTCGTCGAGTTATCGTTGCAACGCGACAACGGTTCACAAACGGGGAAACGAGGGGAGCGAGGAAAAACATATAGCACATATAAAACGTATCCGAACAACGAAAATACTTAATTCCGGTGCAATTTTCTCCTCGTGGGCGGAAGTCACCGCGGAATAATTACGGTTTCCGCGATCGAAGGGGAACGCGCGGTGGGTAATAACAGCCGCGATATATGTGTGTCGAAGAGGGAAATCGTTAGAAACGAAGACACGGAACGGATACAGTCGCGAGGCAGCTTTTTACCTTTCTCCGATCGACGCTCGGAGGTGGTTTTCGCTAGAGTTATTTTTAAACGTTTCACGTTGCAACATGTTAGTCGATGGTCGTTGATCGGAAAACGTGAGGATAGAGATACAAAAGTTTAGGGAGTAGAAACTTTCGAGAGTTTCGAATATTTCAAGGATATATGTGAAATTCGAGAGTTACCCGCAGAAGAATGCACACGCTACCCCTCTCGTTCGCGTTACTCTCGTACAGTGGCTACTGGAGGCCGCCAAAATGGCCGGCTGATTCGTTCAAGTACCGGCTGTACAACGTTTACTCGGTGTTGATGGTCTCTTTGCTGTACTCGTTCACGTTCTATGCGTTCGTCGATTTCGCGATCAGCAAAGACCTCAAGGCCACCACCGACAAGTCTTCGCTGTTCATCTCCGTGCTGGGGGTCAGCATAAAGGTGGCTAATCTGTTTCTGAAACGCGAGAAGATCGTCGGCGTGGTCGACAGTCTGTTGAACGAGAATTGCATACCCAGGGACGAGGAGGAGAGGATCATACAGAAGAAGTTTGACTCTCATGCCAGGTTCGTTGTTAAATTTTCGAAATGTTTCGCATCTGCTGCCCCCTTTCAACTGAACGATTCGGATCGGAATTTTGAATAGAAAGCTGACGTTGTACTGCGAAATCCTGAACGAGTCTGCCGCGTCTTTCGCGACGGTGGCGCAATTTAACAAATTCATCGGCACGAGGACATTGCCCGTGTCTAATTGGGCACCGTACGATCTATCCTCGCAAGAGGTGTTCGTAATATCATTGTTGCATCAAACGTTCGGTTTGTTGGTCTGCGCGAACGCCAGCGTCGGCCACGAAACTCTCATCTCCGGATTAATGATCCAGGTCAGCGCGCAATTTGAGATATTTTGTCATCGAGCCCGATCGCTGCCGTCCTTGCTGAGAAAAGCGAAGAGGGACAGCGTGTCGGCGGAGGATTTGAGAAACAAGAGGAAACAAATCCTGAAAGACGTAGTGGAGCAGCACCTGGGCATCTACAAGTAAGAAAGACGGTTCGATTCGGTCGAATCGAGTTCTCTTCTAGCGAATATTTCTCTCGCCGAATGTATAGAAATGTTATTTGTTCGTTTCATTCGTCCACCCATCCATCCATCCGTCCGTCTGTCGGCGGATCGAACGATAGATTCGCGGAAAGCGTAAACGAGGTTTTCCAGTACATGATATTCCTCCAGTTCACCGTCAGTTCGACCGTGTTATGTCTGAGTATTTACAAAATGTCGTCAGCGAACTCGTTCGATGTGAACTTCGTTTGGAGCTTCTCCTATTTGTGCTGCATGCTGATGCAGGTGTATTTATACTGCTGGTTCGGAAACGAGGTGACGTTGAAGGTTGGCACCGAATTTTCTTTCCTTGAATCGTTCCGCGCCTCGAGACCGAACACAATCTAGACCCGAAAGAAATGTTGTTCCGTTCGTTGTATTAATAATCTTATTAATAGAACTTGATCCCGCTATGTAGTTCCCTTTCTGTGACCTGCAGAGCGTGAAAGTATGCGACGCCATTTACGAAATGGATTGGACCTCTCTGCCGGTGAGCATAACGAAGGACTTGCTGATGATCATAAAGAGATCGAAGAAGCCTGTTAAAATGTCTAGCGCCCACATCGTCAGTCTGTCCACTGATTCTTTCGCGACTGTTAGTTACGAACCAATTGCTCCTGTTCCACGGAATATTCTCGAGAATAGTTTCTAACAGATAAAAATTCCAGATCATGAAGATAACCTACTCGTCGTACAACATCCTGAAGGATTCCTCCGCCAAGTAACAAGTCCCACGGATCATCCAGATTTCATTATAGCTTTCGTAAGAACATTCACCGCGCCATCGGTCGAACAATTTTCATTCGATGTATCCTCGACGATCACAGGAAAGCAATAAAATCGTGTGAATCATTAGCAAACTACGAGGCGCGCCGCGATCCTTAACCGAGGAATCGAACCCTGAACATTTCGGTAGATTCAAAGTTAACTCGATCGACCGGTACGAGAGAAATACAGAGCGATCTCTAAGAAGATACCACGAGTCTCGAAACCACCGATTCTTTTCGTCAGCTGTCGTAGCCAGTTGCTCGCTACGGATCACTCGAAAATAGACGATGACGCAGAAGAATAGCACAGTACGTTTTCGATCGAACGCTCTCAACCGAAGAAACTGCATGGTTGTTCCGCAAATGCAACCGGTAATTGGATCTAATCCATCAGGTACGATAAAAAAGAGGCGCGAAACGAAGCGGAACGGAACGGAACGAAACGAAACGAAACGAAACGAAACGAAACGAAACGAAAGGAGGCATTGCCGTTTCGATTTCGGATCGGTGAGACGGGTCCGAAATCGATCCGTCAAGTCCATGGATCCCAGCGTTGGATCCAGAACGGTGTCCCTCCCCATTGGAAGGTGAGAGAAATTCTCGACGGAGGCGCGAGCAGAAAATAAACGTTCACGGCCCCACCCCCGTAGAACTTTCCGTGGCGGTCCATTTTTGGGCTCCCCACCTTCGGCTTCGTCCGTCGCGAGAGTTCACGTCCCGCTTCTCCCGACGAAGACGAACAAGCTTCCCGAAGCACCCTCGAACACTCGTCTCGCGCCACTCTGCTCGCTCGGGTTAGGTAAGTGAACTCTGAGCAAACGGTGGAACTCTACGATTTCACGTTGGCCTCTTCTCCTTCGATTCGGGTTTCGTTCTCTTTTTCTCTATTCTTCTTCATCCGAATGATCTTGGTCGCGTCGCTGGCCGACCGAAGATGAAATCGCGGTACGAGCGACAAAGATCGACGGGAGTGCGCGCTAAAGAACCACGAGAGAGAGAATGTGGAGGAACGTGTGCCGTGGATCCGTGGCTGGATCTCGAGAGCCTGGAAAGAGGATAGATTCGAGCTACTGGCTCGAAGATGGAGCTTGACCGACAGCTTTCGCACGACCCGGAGAGATCCCACGCGCTAACGGAGCTGCGCTTGATCGGCTAACGAGCTTCGGCTTTCGGGAGCTTTCGTCTTGAAGGTTTCAAAGCTCTGCTTTCGCTTGTAAGTAGCATTGATCTTTTAACACCGCTTCGCTGTTAACAAAAGTGTCGTCGAGGTGAGCCACCTTTTCGCGGAGACGAGAGATTTCATGAAAATCTAGCTTTTCTACCGTCGAAGCCAGTAAGGAAACCGTGGTACACTTTGTGGCGAAAATAAACCAGCCGCCAGCGTCGGATCGTTCCGTTCTTGCATGCTATTTTCAACCTCTAACGTCCGCGGAACGATTCGATGTTCCGTGAAACCAACAAGACAATCAATTCATCGCTGTTTTATGGTTTATAGAATTGTAAGATCCTTGCGAGAGAACTAGGTGTGCTCTGGTATAGAAATACAGGAGATGAAATGATTGCAGAGGACGCAGAGTGTCGGGGAGTGGAACGGTTTTCCCGAGAGATTCTAACCACGCCGCTTAAGCGCAGAGCAACTAACGCTTCGACAGCTCGCTTTCCAGGCTTAACATAACGTAATGCAGTAAGTAGCATTCGCAATGTCAGCTAAATACACCTCCCTAGACCGCTTCGAGCCTCGAGCCTCGAACCACCGTAGAATAGAGGCGCGAGCAAGGTCCCTGGTTGTTATTGACTTTCGAGGGTCTACTTTCTTATGTCACTTTGGCACTTACGGGTAACCAGATGCCAAATGCTTCCAGGCGCTATTAATATCCGCAAAGAGGGTCGAATGTTTCCATTCAGCCACCGAACGATCAATTAAACGACTCTCGAAACACCTATGATCTCCGATCCCTTCACCCTCCCATAAATACTGACACGCTGTTGCTTTTCTTTTCGGCGTTGCTCTACATTTCGTTGGTCTCGCGCGTATTTACGTAAATAACACTGCCGCGCGACGATGCACGGTTGTCAAGGTAAACACGAGAAAGGAAATGTTCGGTGAATTGGCCGATTCGAGCGATTCGAGCGATTCGAGCGATTCGAGCGATTCGTCGAAGAGAGAAACGCGCGAAGAAGGGGGTGAAATCGATACGGTCCTCGACGATCCTCGAGACCCGCAGGATCCAGCCCCGCGGAATCGCGAGCCGCCGGCCGAATGATTTCGTAAATGCTATTAATACGCGGCAGTTAGATCGAATGTCGGTCGTCGGTGGCGGCCAAGTAAAGCCCGTTCTTCTGGGTTACGCTCGTGCTTTTTGGCCTCCTCGCCTCGCGGCCTCAGAAACGCCGGCCGCCGTCCTCTCTTTTCGTCGTTCGCGCATATTTATAGAGCCTGCCTATGGATGCTATTTCCGTAGACGCACCGACGTGCTGTCTCTCTCTCTCCCTCTCTCTCTCTCCTCTCTCGTCCTACACGCAGCCCGCCACGGTATCATCCGGCGGATTATGACTCGCAGAACCCATCGGGATCGACGAAATATGCAAGCCCGAGCATCATCCGCACGCGATCCTCTATTTTCAGGGTTAAAACTGGACGGTTCGGAAACCGGATGGCCGCCGCATGGATAAAACACGGAGCGCGCGTTTCATGTTTCACGGAAAAGGGAAAAGGGAAAAGGTCCTTCTTTCCGAAAGACCTTTTAAACGGAAACATCGTCTCCTCTACTAAAAGTGTTCTTCCGTTGCGCGGTTTTCCCACACTTCTTACTAGCACTCCGAAAACATTTCTTCCTTGAATAGAGGTGAACCTTGAGTGGGCGAAGGCCCTGCCTAGACGCTAATCGGTAATGTTTACCTGACCGTTGCGAAGAAACTTCCCCTTGCGGATTTTCCGATCAAATTATGATCCCCTTTCGAGAGGTTCGTCGAGTTAGATCGTTTCAAGACGGAAAACACTGATCGCGATCGGGCCAACACACCGAACCTCGCCGAGGAAATCGAAGAAACGAATGGATTAACGGATTATTAAGAGGACGGGATTTGGGGGATTTCAGTGAACTCGATAGTTTCTCGAAGGAAGCCGGCGAAGAAAAGAAGCCGCCACCATGGACGCGATCAAGAAGAAGATGCAAGCGATGAAGCTTGAGAAGGACAACGCGATGGACAAGGCCGACGCCTGCGAGGGCCAGGCGAAGGAGGCGAATATGCGCGCGGACAAAGTGAACGAAGAAGTGAACGACCTGCAGAAGAAGCTCGTCCAGGTCGAGGGTGACTTGCAGGCGAACAAACAGAACTTGGAGCAGGCGAACAAGGACCTGGAGGAGAAGGAGAAGGCCCTGACCAACGTGAGTGCCCAGCAAATTTCGTTTCCCTGTGCCGCTCCGCCGCGGACGGACTCCAGCTGCGATTGCTCCAGTTTATTTTGGCCCGGGTCCAACGCCGCGATTTTCGCCTTTCGACAGGTTTTATTTTGGTTTTGTCATCGGACGCGGTAGCCTCCCGTTTTAAGATCGATGACTCAGTGTGACGCAGTCGCACGCCGCGCGAGGATCATCTGTTCCGAGCCTGGCTCGCTGCTCCCTTTCGCCTCTTTCCAGGGTAGACAATGAGTCACGGGGAGTTTTTCGGTTTCAGGCCGAGTCCGAGGTCGCCGCGCTGAACCGCAAAGTGCAGCTGATCGAAGAGGACTTGGAGAGATCCGAGGAGCGACTCAACACTGCCACCGCCAAGTTGACCGAGGCTTCCCAAGCTGCCGACGAGTCTAGCCGGTGATTATCAACGATTTCATTGATCCACCTTACCGATCGATTCGTTCCGATTGATAAGCAACGATCGTCTGAGCGTGAACGTCTTTCCAGTATGTGCAAAGTATTGGAGAACCGCGCGCAGCAGGATGAAGAGAGGATGGATCAGCTGACGAACCAGCTGAAGGAGGCTCGCCTGCTCGCCGAGGACGCCGACGGAAAATCCGACGAAGTATCGCGAAAGCTGGCCTTCGTTGAAGACGAGCTGGAAGTCGCCGAGGATCGAGTCAAATCCGGCGAAGCGTGAGTGTCCGAACGTCTTCGGAGATTCGACTTGGAACGAGCGACGTCTTTTAACGCGGAATCTTTCGGTTTGCAGCAAGATCATGGAGCTGGAGGAAGAACTGAAGGTCGTTGGTAACAGCTTGAAGTCTTTGGAAGTCTCCGAAGAGAAAGTGAGTGATCCTCGGGTCGGGTTGTTATCCTACTTTGATCGATTTCAGGCCGGTACTAACCGAATTGCTTTAGGCCAACCAAAGAGTCGAGGAGTTCAAGAGGCAGCTCAAAACGTTGACCGTCAAACTAAAGGAGGCGGAAGCCCGCGCCGAATTCGCCGAGAAGACGGTGAAGAAATTGCAGAAGGAGGTCGACAGGCTCGAAGGTCTGTGCCCGATCATTTCTCGAATCTCTTTTTCTTCCTTACGCACTGATAATAAGCGAATAGCGACTTACATTCGTACAGCTTCGGTTTCGATGACCAGAGGATGGATTCAGTTTCTGAAAAAAGAGAAAAACGGAACGTTGTGTATCGCATTCTGCCGCTGAAAATCATATTTTTAGACTATTTTGCACTGAATTCAAACAGCCATGACGTAATTTGGCAAAATGACAACGGCGCTTCCGTAATTTTGCTACGCTGGAATGGAATCAAAGATTCGTGGTCAATTTGCCAACCTTGAGCAACGTCGGAAGCGTTGCCGCGCGTCGTGAAACGATCGAATCCGGTTGAACTATATGCGAGATATATGTACGTAAACGTGTAGGAAATTCTTGTCTAGCAACTCGCAACGTTCTCGAAAAAAGAAAAAAAGAAACACAGAAAAACAATCGATATCACCTCGTGCAACACCACTGATTTTCTTTGCAGACGTACTGCACCAGCAGAAGGAGAAACGCAAAACGATTTGCGAAGAATTGGACAAGACATTCTCTGAGCTTTCTGGCTACTAAAACATAAACGAAACACAAAGAAATATCTAAGAAAACTCGAAAAGACAGAGAGGAACGAATGATTTGTATTCACTCGAAACTTCTCGTTTATTCCTTTGCTCAAAATGTATTCTTGTTTCGCTGTAATCGCTATACTTCGCGAACAACTTTTTTTGCTTTTTAGCTACACTTGTCCCCCTTTACTCTCGCCGAGCTTCCCAAATTTGGGCGTATAATTTTTCTTTCGTTTCATTT